ACATAAGAGGTTGTATCAGAGTATTCACTTCGATATATAAAAGTCATGTATAATTTTTGTGTTTAGGGCCGATATATACGGTACGACTTAATCGCATGCGACAAGCTTAAGGTTACTTCCCTTCGCGGGTGTCCTTCGGGAAAAAATTCGTTCGCGCACCAGTTTCACTACAATCCTAGCAAACGATATATCAGAAGAAAGCTTCATAAATGCAGTTTGCGATAAAAATAGACTTCAAGCAACTTTTCTTTTAAGGAAGTGTCAGGATCCGGTAAGGCGTGACACGACCGAAGGGTCTTCTATTTTTAAATTTATCGCATATGGATGCTGCAGCACAAACTAATTGGCTGCACAGTCCTATTCACAAGGCGTCAGTCAACAAAAGTGTAATAGGCTTTTTTGATATTCTAATTGGTTGTCTAGATATTGGCATCTAAAGTTGGAATAACTAAAAATGTGCAAGTCGTGTTGCGTAAATGGAAGCCACGGGATAAATATTTCAAATATCAAAACTTCCCAAGACACTTTTGTTTGACATTATTCCTAGGATGTTTTGGCGAAATTTGACGAAAATCGGTCAAATCTGTATACCCCATAAATTCACTCAAAGTGGTTGTACTCCCAAAATCAAATGCGAGATTTTAGTTCATAAAGGTTCGCGAACAACCGCGTCACGCCAGGTGATTATCCGCTTGCCTCCTGAAACCGCAAACCAATAGGACAACGGAACCTCCTGGCGTCAATGACGATGATCAAGATTAACCAAGAAAAGTAACCCATTGCAGGCACGTTTCTTTTTTTGCTTATCTCGATCGCTGAGTGGAGCGTTGAGGAGGACGACACATTAATGTGCAAAGTTGCGAAGGGCAAAGAAAAAACCCGCGGCAAAAATGGAAAAACCGCAAAATGTGCTGAGGAGCAAGACAACGAATCGACATACAGCATTCAAAATTGCGATTCGAGGCAATTGTTAATGTCTTTGTAACAAGGCTGGTACTTGCGTAACGAAAAGGAAACCTCGTTTTAACATCATTTATGGCAAATTTTGAATAAAAATTTCCGCACATTATGCATTCAGTTTTTGGATAGAGAAGACCATAACAAAAACAATAGATTGCCATTGGGAGAACAGATTTGCTTTACGATAGTATGGGGCTGTGCGGAAATTTTACCAATTTTAGTTTGACGGCGACTTCTTAGATCGCCATTACCAGTCGCTTTCACGAAATCAAAGATATTTCCATAAACAAAGAGCTTTCCATGTGTGAATTTTGTCAAATGCGCGCTGTAAACAAAATATGGAAATAACATTAAAATCGAACCTCAACATGAGCGGTTGCCGCGAAAATTTCCCCAGGGTCCAAGATTATGACACCTTCCTGATTTATCAACTTTTTTTTTTTAAATGCGTTTTTCTTAATAACTCGGGTGCTTTTAAAGATTTCGGAATTTTTGATAAAGGAAACGTTAGGTTGAAAGTTTGAATTCAGTTTAGTCTAGTAAAAGAAAAATCGATCTTTTCAGTCTCTGAAGGTGAGAAGTAACCTTAAGACAGGCTAGGACAAGTTACACGCGCACGACATTTTATTTACTCCCTGCAAAAATCGCGTACAATTTCAAATGCCATTTTGTCTGGCATTCGTCATAAAATGGTCCTCATGACGGCTATTTTAAAAAGTTGTGCTCGATTGTGTATTGTCGACATTTTGACGCAAGAAAACTTCGCCTTCCTCCCTTTCCCCTAGAAATTTGTGACAATATATTAAGTAATTTCTGTCGAATTCGGTTACGACTGTCGCAGCGTTTTAGAAAATGTTTTCAAAGCCTAGGACATTTTTTGTGTCGCATGTGAAAGTCGTAAGCGATCGCGAGTTTTTGGTTTGATTCACACGACACAAGTCTGTAGTTGGCCTGTCGTAAGCTTGTCGCATGCGAGAAACTCTGACGTACCGTGTAAATAGGCCCTTAAGCATCCGGAGATAGAGAATCCACAATCTGTGAAAAAGTGTTGGAACACAGTTCTTAAGATAGGACTAACCTCCCCCTCGTACCTTGCGGCGTTAGTGCGGTAAACTAACATGGAGTCTCACTTAGATTGTGTTAGGCAACATTGCAAGGGGCAGGAAGCCGGAAGGGTTCGAAGTGTTTCAAAGACTTTTGTCAGAGATTGTAGCCCATTAAATGAATGACTGTTTACCACTGATTCATTTCTTTCAAGGATCCTGCAAATCATCTGAAATATCATCAGCGAGGATACCCGAACAACGCTTATACTCGTGGAAATTCAAACGGTTAATGACAACAGCGGACAATGTAATAAACTGAAACTTAGATTGCCGTGCTTTCGTCGATTAAACTCTTTACCGTATTCAACAAAGGATGAGTTTTGAAAAGTTCGCGATTTAACTAGTCAGCTACAATATTATTTTTCTTATTTTAAGAATAAAAGTAATAACCTCTAGAACTAAATTGTTTTCGCAATAGTCGTTTTGTCATAAAAAGTAATAATACGATGTATCGTATTCCAGGCTGTTACAAAGTTCTCCATGGGAGAGATTTCCAGCTACAAAACCTTTAGGTTTCGTATAATGGGGTACGATCACCGTTGCGTGATCATAGAAGTTAAATAGAAAATGTTTCTTACCTGAAAAAAAACAGGCGAGCAGAACAGCAGTTGTTCGGCGAAGTTGGGTTTAGATTATGGACCAAACGTGATCGCGAGTGAGTTTTTCAGTTAGCAGAACAAAGAAGTACTATTTGTCGGCAAACGGCACAAAGACTTTTCTCACATCTGCGAATTGATCGCACTTGGCAAAGTTTTGCGGTCAAAATCTGTTAAGGAGACACTTTTCCAAATTGCACCCTAACTTTTCTATTTCGGAATTTATCCAGGAATTTGCCTAGTTTATTGGAAAATCGGCAAAAACATCAGAGACGCTGTAGGGCTTTGGTGTGGCAATGAAAAGAGGTTGGAAACTTTGTTGAGTAAAAAAAAGAGAAGTGAAGTGACAAAGGGTCCCGGTATTCACGATCATCGAAAGAGTAACAGAAGACCGATGCAATCTCGGTTATTTTCCCATGCAAGAAAAAACTAATCAGCTCAAAAATTTCGGTTTAAAGTAAGCTTAATGTGCTAAAAGGAAATCAGAATTCCGAAGACGTATATTTTAAACCCCCTGATGACGAAAAATATTTGAAGTGGCTTTGATACCTCAACAGTCCCTGAAACCAGAGTTTCTCTGATTAGGTTGTCTTGAATTTTGCCAGCTTTGGTCGGATACTTTGCGTACAGGAGTGTATCGCACAATCCTGGAATTTCGCCTTGGGTTACAGGAAACCCTTTTCAGCAAAAGTGTCGGCATTTAGCTAATTTGTTTTTCTTCAAAAGATATAAATCCTAACGCTATGTCACTCAAGGAAAAGTAGGTCGCAGAATTTGAATTATGATAACTCTTGAAAGCGAAACTGAAAATTCCCCAAGATAGAACCTTTGCCCAAGTGCGACCTATGCCTTTTAAGCGGCAGTCACCCTTTATAAAACGGTCAACTGTCGAATTAAGTTTTGATTTCCTCTAATTATTCTTTGTGTTACCGTTATCAAGTGGTCACCGAGGTCAACCTTGAAGGGGTCATAAGGGCTTTTTTCTTTTGTCTTGACCTAAGCAGTCAACCTTAAATAATCGGCCATACAGTCATTCCGACCGCTAATACAGGTTTAATCTGCAAAGTTTCAACATTGTAGGTAAAGATGTCGACAATTGACCGCTTGCCCCACGTTTGCCTTCTCGCTTTATTCAACATTCTTTCAACTTCGGATCTTGTAAATGTGTCTTTAACATGCAGAACATTTTACAAAATTTTGGTTTCTACTAAAAGGCCATTTACGCTTCTTTACTTCCGATGTTTCGAGAGGAGGATGACCTACATTCCTAACAAAGGCATATGGTCTAACATCACCCACGTGAAATTTCTCAGCCTTAGATTCTGTGTCAAAGTAAGTAACTTTACACTGTTGAAGGATATGGTCCGACTGATAAGCCTGGACATTTATTTTACGAATATAAGTGGAGAAGAACTCTGCGAATTCATTCCGATGGGACTGATCGGTATTAACCTTGGCTATTGCGAGCGACTGACATCCTCCAAACTACTCCAGGAATTTTTGCACCAGAGATGCAGTCTGGAAATGGTGGGACTTTCTGCCCTTAATCAAGCTGTTAACGATGAGGTTAGTACCAAACGAGAGTTTTTGAGCTTAGCCTATTATTGCGTTCGTTTGCGGTTGCCTGTGGTCTGAACGCTTTCCAATAATCTTTGATTAGTTCTAATATATCTTGTTACTAAGATATAACAAGCTTGGAACACTGCCCATAGAAAAATATATTATCGGTAAAAAGGAAAATGTTTTGCATCATGGAAGTTTAATGCAAATAGCTTATCTGTTAAAATATATTAAAGTTCAGGTGGACAATCAGACATGGTTTGATGCTACTCTGGTTTACAGATTTAATGAATGTAACCGAAGGCATTAGAATCCATAGACCCAACGTTTCGACACTCCTGTCTAGTGCCTTCATCAAAGGTGATCTAAACGATGCAACAAGAGGTCGTTTTATATGATCACTAATTAGCGGCCTTTTTTTCTGACGAGGTGTAAATAGCCGTCAGGAAGCAAACCGCCATCGCCAGGATCCTTGGGTTTGGCGAAAATATGCCCCAAAGTCTGAAAAGGTTTTTGAGCAACTTTAACGTTGTGGCTATTCAAACTAGACAGGAGTGTCGCAACGTTAGGTCTATGAATTGTAACTTCTTCGGTTACACTCATTAAATCTGTAAACCAGAGTAGCATCAAACCATGTTAGCTTATCTGTTATACTCCGATATCACGCACCGCCATCTTGGATCGAGTGCCGCCGATCAAAAAGTCTAAAAATAAACTCATTTCCTAGATCAAGAAAGGCTCTACTCTAGTGTGTTCTGCTCACTTCAAGCCAAGCGATATGTTTAAAACTATAACAGGGCTTATACGTCTGAAACCAGGAGTTGTGCCTTCGCAGTTTCAATGGACAAAGTCCAGCCAAGACCGCCCACAAAATAAACTACAAGAGTTAAAAACTATGGCAGAACAGCAAGAACAAGAGGAGCGACGACAATCTTTTGTCGATTCATTCCAGCAGGATGTCAAAATGGAGGAAGGGGAGACTGGATCAGGAGGCCAGGGAGCCAGTGCTAGTGATGAGCAAATGGAAGAAATGGCTACGGACGAACCGGAAAACGAAAACATAGAACCCGCCGAATTGAGTGCAGTGGAACAAATTGAAATCCTTAAAGCACAAATCAGTGATTTAGAGCAACAGGTGGAAGATCTAAAAGGGACCAGGTTTGGAGCTGAAAACATTTCCAAAGATTCTGAATTGCTGACATTTTACACAGGCTTTGTATCAAAGGAACGATTTGATAGCTTTTATAGCTGGGTTGAACCTTATGCTAAAACCATGATAAAATGGTCCCAGATTCAGCGTGAACGAGGCAAAGAAAACTACAAGCGGAGGCGCAGCAGTGGCAATTTTGCATTGTCACTCTATGACCAACTGTTTTTATTTATGATCAGACTAAGGTTGGGATTGCTCGAGACAGACTTAGGAGTAAGATTCAATATTAGCACAAGTACTGTCAGCAGAATCATTTTAACTTGGGCAAATTTTCTGTATACAATGCTTGGCCAAGTGCCAATTTGGTCCACAACTGCTCAGATAAAAAATAGTATGCCTCAGTGCTTCAAAACCACATACCCTAAAACAAGGGTTATCCTAGACTGCACTGAGATCAAAGTCCAAAGGCCTAGCTCTAAGGTTCTGAACTGAGAATTTTATTCTGCATACAAGTCGCATACTACCCTTAAATGCCTCGTGGGAATAGCTCCTCATGGTGCAGTAACATTTGTAAGTTCTTTATATCAGGGAAGTATATCAGACAAAGAGATAACAAGGCGTAGTGGAATTTTGTCACTTATCGAAGAAGGAAACTAGGTCATGGCAGATAAGGGTTTTCTGATTCAAGATTTATTACAACCCCAAAAAGCTACATTGACAATCCCTCCTTTCCTGTCTAAGACAAAGTCTTTGCAGTTCACCTCAAAAGAAGTAACAGAAACACAACAAATTGCCCGCCTCCGTTTTCACGTCGAGCGAGCAATCAGACGAATCAAAGAATACCAAATTTATGAAAAAGTTTTACCACTTTCGTTGGCTGGTTCAGTAAACCAAATATGGACAATTTGCTGCCTTCTTACAAACTTTAGATGGCCACTATATTGAAACTATAACTTGCCTGTTAGTATTGTGTAGTTCCATTACATTTCCTTCCCCCCCCCCGAAGATTTTTCTTACCCCCCCCCCCCCATCTCCCAGCATCTGGAAATGCAATTAACCTTCAAATGTTTCTTTAATGTTTTTGGTCTTTATGAACCCAACCCTTTCCCCTCCCCTTCATCTCCAGGCATTTACAATCCTTTCTATGGGGGCAGTATTGAGATCTTTTGGAGCTACACTTCCTTCAGCAAAACTAGGGTTAGCAATAAGAGTTGTAACAGTTAACCAGTTACTTAGAAACAGGTGACAAATAAATCAAAGATTGGATTTGACTTTACAAAGAACAGATTTTTACAATTATTTCAGTGATTCCAGAAAAGAAATCACCTCTTCCTTTTGGGAAATTATGGTGAGAGGGTAATTTTCCTCATTTCCAGGGGGATTTCTGATATGGCCCCAAATCATTATTTTAAAGGTTTACAAATTTTAGGATAGAGGTGGTGCCCCCTTGTAAGGGAGGTTAGAAATCATATTCTCTATACAGCTCACATGAGTTGGTTACATGTACTTAGTCCAAAAATCCTAAATCCTTTCATAAATTATTTGTCTCTGCTGCAGCAGCATACATCCCATTTCAAGCACTTATCAAAACATTAGGCATAGTCATACAGATTTTTTTAACTATGCTTCACAAAGCAGGCTATGCCCCCACTTTTTTTAACAGTTCAGGGAGAAGGTATTCGAAATAAAATTTGTCTAATTTCATCTCCATCTCTGAACAAAATTCTGCATCAAACCTCACTCTTTCTAAATGAAAGTCAGATTTACAATAAACATAAAAATCTACCCATTCACAACCTGTCAACATCATCTGTCCCATGATCTGGTAGTAATAGCTATGTGTTTTTCGAAGTTTATAAACCCCATTTACACATTTCAGATATTTCAGCTGCGAGATTGAATCCGTAATAGGGCACTTGATTTCCAGCAGCCCCCAGGGATTGTTTTCAGAGGGATCATAGACCCTTCAATCTGGAGAGGCAGCCAGATGTGGACATGATGGGTTGATAACAATCCCGGCAAGGAAAACATTGCAATCTCCACTGTCAGCATATGCAGAAGCTGCCTCTTCTTCTGTATTTATACCATGCCTCATGGCTGCAGTTTGCACAGTCTTCTTTAGTTGCCTTACTGCAAGTGATTCAAAGTCAGCCCTTCGGGCACAAACATCCTTAAATTTACTCGAAGATAGCCTCTGTGCCCTCAGATCATGCCACTTCTGAGTGTCAGACTGCTCCCTTGTTTCTTCCTCATATAAACAGGATTGTGCTTGTGAGACACTAAGCCCTTCAGCAAAGTTAAGTTCTGCCAAAGTAGGCACAAATGTATAATTGCTTTTAAGCAATGGTACACCAAAAGGCAGTGGCTCCTGTGGCCCCTCAACATTAATGTGAATTTTTGGATCATTGGTTGTGTTCTGACGTTGTTGGTATGATATAACTGAGCCATGAGCTACTCTCCCTAGTTTACTATTCACATAGTCCAAACTGTCAGTTTCTGGAACAATACTGTTTACTTGCATGTCTTCATATTGTTTGAATATGTCTCTCATAGAATCAATGATTTTGGGTGAACCAAAATGTTCTGGAATCGGATTATACAGAGTGGACCGTACTCCATCTAACCTGCGTATTTTATTTTTTTGTGTTGCATCATTGCTCGGTGGTTCCACTTGCTGCACCAGCACCTCTTGCACCTCGCGGGGATTGATTCCTGCTGTCCTTTGAGGAACGTGCCATGTTTGTGGTAGACTTGTTTTTGACATGGCAGGAGGTACACTTTTTAAGCCCAGTTTTCTATAATGCTCAAGGAGGTAAACCAGCCCTATTGCATGGTTACAGAGCCCTGCACCTGCTTCACAGTTGCAGGAGGTACTGGTTATTTTAACTTCGGGAGTCCATGGCTCCTCATTTTTTCTCTGTGATTTGTAGCTTCGAACTCTAACAATTACTTCTGTATCCTGAGTTTTACTGAAAGCAAAGTGCGAATATGGAAGTTTAATACACTATAGATTTTGCACAAGAGATTTCGAATGGCGAATCGTGCAATAAACGAAAAAAAAGCACCATCTAAGATGCTTAAAGAAGCATGCGTAGCGTGAAATCACACCAGTGTTGCAGTTAAATTTGAGACTGAAATGAAACTTTTACCTTCGACATCGAAGATATACCCTTTGCAGAAGTTACCATAACCACGAGTTACCACCTTCTTCGGGACTTCTCCATCGGTCTCAAGCCATGTCTCGATAAAAGAGGCGTCAAAAAACGGAACATTGCGGAGAGATTTCGACCACGCAGCAGAAAATCCACCTTCAGCCATATTGGCTAAACAAGCATGTCGTCGAGGATGCCCGTCCAGCCTCGTTTTGGTGCGGCCCTCGATCCAAGATGGCGGTGCGTGATATTGGAGTATTATATAAGTTATATAAATTTTACGGACATTGAAGCTGTCACGCAACAGACCTGAGACCACAGTCGAAACAGTTGCAGCATATAAAAATCGCTCTACTTGCTAGCAATAAAACAAGGAAATTCCACGGGAAATTAATTCACGCAAGACTTAAATATCCTTATTTATAACAGCAAAAGCGCGGATATCAACAACGCGAACGCCACAAATGCAGTAAAGCAGACGTTAAAATTTGTCAATTTCAGGCATGAATATAAATGAAATGAAAAGTAATTTGAATTTGGGGTATCTAACGCTCTCTTATAATCTTTGATTACTTCTATTATATCTTGTTTATTTTTGTTTCTTTTGTCTCTCGATTAGGCCACCTTATTCGCCATGAAATATAGCATAGAACATCACATCTTCCCCTCCCTCCTCCCCTTATTAACGTCTGGTCACAAGGTGACACCATCTTGTGATAATTCGAATCTCGAATTTATAAACTATCTTGGCCCTGCCTTTTGATTGCGTTGTCTTTTTTTTTTTAGGTGTTGGAATCACTTTCATGTCACGATTTGAAATATTTGGACATCAGTGACTGTAACAATGTTACATCTGTACAAGTGGCAAAGCTCCTCGCTCGTCAACCAAACGTCGAAGAGTTATCGCTGCAAGGTACTTGCCACATGGCTGCCATTTTAAATGTCTTGGCATCAAACCGGCAAAGTCTGGAGAATCTAAGGTATACAATTGAACTTATTTGCTTCTATCACCCCGATTGGATAGGGGTTGAAATTTTAGATGACAAACAAAGCGTTAAGGCTAAAAATACGCGCGAAAAGTAAGAAAATACGTAACACTCGTAGATGGCCTTTACGCTCTCTTTAGAATATCTGAGCTCGTAAGCATGACATAACAGGATGGTGAAAACCCCACAAGTACCCGCACAGCGAAAGAGCCAGCAACCTTGCTCTGTTGAGGCTCTGTTAAAGCTAATTTATAAGGGTAGTATCTGCTTTGTTTTTGTTTGTTTTTTGTTTAGAAAAGTTTTGGCAGGTTTAAAATCATCGTGTCTCTTTTGAAAATCTCAAAAATCGCAGACGTCTCTTTTAGGAGATTTATTCAAGATCTTCGTCGCAGAGGGGAAGTGGCCGACAGGGCTACAGCCGCACTCCTCGTTTTAAATTGCCTCCAAATGACAAATGTGACCCGCCATATGATTTCAGGGACAAAGGTGATAACACGCTCACAACACGCTTAGTGTGTTTAATATACGCATATATTATTTTTTAACAATAAGTACACACTGTTTCGTTTTGGTCAAGTTAGCACGCTTGGTCTTTGTTTCGGTTTGAAAAGCGTGATCGATGTTACGCTTAGCGTGCAAAGTCAACACAGGAGGACACACTAAAGTAAAACGTAGCTAGATATTTCTGCCGTTCATCCAAATGTTTTCCTCTTGAACTCAATAGCACTTAATTGTGATGGGCAAGCTTAAATAATGGTAAACAATGGTAAATAATGGTACGACAAATGAATTTTAACGCCTTTAAAAGTTATACACCATCACGTTATCTTATATAAGTTCCCGTTTCGCAAATTGTTTACTGCATTAATTGAACCGAGTTTCAGGCACGTGACTGAGCGCGTGATTAACAGAAAACAATCGCTTGAGAGTCGTAGTGCTCCCAGAAACAAAGAGTTGTTGAAAACAAAATTGTTCCTTACTGTTGATTTTGTTTATAATCCCCTAAAAATCGCTCTGGTCATCCGATGGAATAAACTTTTACACAAACGTTTCGGCCTTTACCTGCTATATGTTATGGCGCTTTATGAATATCTTGCACATGTTTGTTTGTTTACGCGATCGGCGCAATTCGTCTGGCACTGAGTTACATTTTGTGCTTCAACATACTACAAATATCATCAAAAGTAACCACTCCACATAAAAAAAAAGTAATTGAAGTGTCTGCCTTGAATCCTTGCAACTCGTTCGCGGCCAAATGTTTCAACTTTGTTTTTTATGATATAAACACCGATGGGAGGTTCGGTTTTTACCGTAAGAATGAGAGTACATTGACTGTGTAATGACTAAGCGTTAGGTTCAGTTAACATGCGTGCTGCACACCGGTTACACGCTTCTATGCTGTGCCCGCTATTACGCTAGCTTTTGTATTCGAAGGTTAACACGCTTTGCGTGTTTGCCTGCTCGCGCTTCATTGTTCAACGGCGCAAGCTTTATTTTTTGTAGAGTGTTGTAAGCAATAAAAGCATGAGCAAAGTGTGTTTTAGCATGCTCAGCAAGCGTTATAGCCAGTTTCTTTTGTTTTCGATTGGAAGCGTGTTGTGAGCGTGCTATCACCTTCGTCCCTAAAATCATACGGAATGGTATAACTCTGACTCTTTGAATGATTCTCTGTCTTAGCGAAACGAACGACACAAACACGAGGAAACGTAGATCTTCTCTATTTACTTTCAGGGGGTTGTAATCACTTGACAATAATCTCAATGCAAGTTAATAATTTATTCATACATTTTTTCTTATGTTCTTAGGGTTCTGGAAATTGAAGGAAATGTACATACCCTCAATCAAGAAAATGTTGATTCTGCACTGGAAGTTCTACCAGTGTGTGAGAATTTGAAGGTTCTCTCTATTTTTAATTGCAACCTTGAACGAAACTCAAAAGACTACTTTAAAAATTTTTTGAACCTAGAAAAATTGAACCTATGGCAGTGTCACCCACGTTTGTTTAAGTGTGCTAAAAATTCTTTGAATTTGGATTTCAAATGTGAATTAAACCCACTGTCCCCTTTGAGAGACAATATATGCCTCGAAAGAAAATCAAGGAACCGCTTTGGATAGAGCAATTTTCAATTGAGTGTCAAAAGTAATCCAAGATTGTGATGGTTTTGCCTAAGTATGCTCTGTGGTTGGACCATAAATCTTGCGCCACCCTCTCAACCAATCAGATGCAAACCCAAAATCAATCATAACTTTGTTCCTCGCATTTTTCTGCACTTCAGGCCATTTGCATGTATTTACTTTGAGTCCTGATTGGTTCCATGTGATATTTCCCTTTTTCTGACTGGCCATTGCAGTTACTTTGGTTTTGGTTTCACAGTACTCAATTGAAAAGTACTCTGAGTAATACTGCAATTAAACTGGTTCACAGAGACTTTGTCGCCTTAATATTAGACTTGGTGTGGTTTTTGTTGTTGTATTTTTTGGCCTTTCCAATTAAGATGAAAATGGAAAAAAATAAATTTCATTCCAGAGAGACATCTGCCCAAAAAGTGAGATGCCTATATGAGGAAATAAAGAAAACCAACCCTAAGTAATTCAGATTTAATCAAATTTTTAACAGATGACAATATTAACAGGTATTACTTTCTCCTCATCAATTACATGCCTCACTAAAGAAGACAATTGAGCAATATCAATCATGGTCATGCTAAGGCAAAGCTCTTTCATAATTTATTTCTCGACAAGATATTGTAGATGAACATAGAGTGATTTTATCCAACCAATGAAATTGATCATAGACTACTATGCGTTACAAAAATTTTTGGCTTATGTCATGTTTTCCACTCACAACATGGGGGTGATCCAACAATCAAACATGCCGCTGGTGTCATACAGGTTTGTTTACATACTGTTTCATGGGTTAAGTAAAATCACGCTAGTTGTTCCTTTTTTAATGTTTCATGCAAATTTTGGTTACCTTTTTCCTGCTATGATGTCCTTTGTTGACAAAATTCTCTTGATAAATAGGATACACTGTAAGTGTTTGCAACAAATAAACACTTTTTTGTGTCATTTAAGCAGGAGTGATTGGTGCTATTTTTTTTTCTAACAACATGTGCAATCCATAATTAATCTAACTAAAAATTCAAGCTGAAATTGCTCATTTAACGAACACAAATGGATAGTTAAAAAAAAAACTGCTCCAGTTGTACTTGAACATGCAACACTTCTATGGAAATAAACATCTTCACTACAAATAATTCAAGCAAATAACTTCAGGTGAAATAGTGTTTTTGGAATTTGTGAAATTTAAAGTGGACCACAGTGCACTAACATACCATAAATCCATTCTACCTTCATACTTACTTGCAACTGTTTGGCTCTAATTGTTCAATACTATTTCACAGATCACAGTAAGTAACTCTCCAATTTGCCCTTATATACTTTTGAAGAAAATAAAGCAGTTGACACCAGATTGAGGAGTCAAGGCTATTTTATTCACTAATTCATTCATAATTGTTGGTAAGATTTCTTTTTATGTGGGTTGCTGTAAACATAAAGGTTTTAAATAAATTCTTTGCAATTTAAATGTTTGTGTCAATTGTTTAAAATTCTATTGCTCTGGAAATGCACTAGATGTGAAACTCTGGAACTCAACAATTCCAAAGGAGGTTTTGTGGACAAATTCATAGGTCTTATGCGAACATGCTTAAGAGGTCACATTCTCTGTTGATGTTCTCTGGCCATGTCTAAGTACAATTCACAATGTGGAGCAAGGGAATTTTGGATATGACTTGAATTAAGCATGCTTCAAAACCCAATTGAAACTGCTAGAATGAACACATGACCCATTAAGTGTTTAACCCTTTAACTCCCAAGATCTCATTAGTATTTCTCCTTACTGTCTGCCATATAGTTCTTGTGATGTTAGTTTTGAGAATTTGGTATTGGATCAACTAATAATCCCCTTATCAATAATTTTCTTTATTCTCACCACTTGTCTGCTTGATATTGTATTGATAGTGTAAAGAGAAATTCTGACTTGGTCACACATGGGAGTTAAAGGGTCAATTATTAGTATTACACTGTGCCAAATAGCTTGCCTTATTGATTTTATTTAAAGTTACAAAAGGTCTTTCTCCTCAAGTTGCCTCCATTTCCAGTCTTTCCACATTTCATAATG